TGCCCCCCTTTTTAAGCCAGTCAAATTACTTATTTAAAACTTTAATGTTTTTTACAGACATTTTACATTTTGGCAAATACAAATCCCATTTCCAGGAAGGTTGCAGATGTAACACAACTCAACACTTGACAACATAATGATGTGTCGGATCAAAGTTGTCTTTATGTTTTTATTACATTTTTCTATGCAGGTTCCCAGTCTCCTGGCTAATTTTTTATCCAACAACAACTAAAACATGTTCTCAGGAAGCCATGACCGTCCAACTGCCGTTAAAATTGTCCAGAAAGAGAGAGTCATGTTTTAGAACGACAGATGTATGTTTAGATTCCTACTTTTCTGGGAATGGACTTTGTACTTTGCCTTTTTTTAGCTTCAGTTTGCTCCCCTCCCCCCATACCCACCCTCCTCCCGCAACTACAACAGCCTCCATGATTCACCCCGTAGTTTATGAGGCTGTTTCTAGTCTGTGGGCTGTGAAGAGGAAGTGCATGTCCCTTTAAAGGCCGACTCCAACGGTGACACAGGAGCTCACCGATGCAGATGGATTGGGTTCTTATCTGGTGAACGACTTGTATGACGTACAAGACGTCAAGTGCATGAACCGCTACCAGGTGCTGCTGCATGGTGTGAGACGCATCTTTATTAATTAAAACAGGAAGAAAGGCTGAGAATGCTCTAACAGCTCAACTCATTAATGACATATAATACATTTGACACAGTCAGGAACTTGTTAACAGCATCACACAGTGTGTTAGGAATAGAATTTTGGTTTGGTGTGTCTCCTTAATTGTCTTTCTGCCAGTCTCATCTGTTCCTTTTTTTGTTGTTTCCCCTGCTTTCTCTCCTGTTTCTCATCCTGCCAGAGCTGTTGCTTTTTTTTTTAAAGAAAAATTATAGTCAAATACTGTTTTAGGAAAATTGTACTGTAGCCTCTGAATCAATAGTGGATCCAAATCATCTTTATGTTGCAGAACTCTGCCTCTGATTTCTGTTTGTTTTCTTGAATTGGTGCTTGATTATCGTCGTGAGTGATCTCAGAATGAGGAGAGACAAATCTGTTGTTGTTTTTGTTGTTTTCTTCTTCACGCATTTACCTTTAACTTTCAACTCTGGTTCTCCGTTGAGAACAGTGTGCACTTGATCTATGTGGGTGTGATGGTAGTCTGTGCTTGTTTATTGTTAAGTCATTTAAAACCTTTGTTTTATTTTAAGAAGGAACAAGAAAATAATCCTGTTTGTTGTTAATTTACCACTTGTTTTTTTTTAGTCATCCGACAAAGAAAAGATAGACCAGCTTCAAGAAGAACTGCTCCGCACACAGGTATCATGGAATGTGACTTACTTTGAATTGTTTTTTTTTTATTACTAGAGAGCAACGTGGTCATCATCCTTGACCTCATATGACCAAACTGTTATTTTAAAAAATGTTATTATTGTATACATTTTGCTTTAGTCCTGAAACCTAGAATTTGAAGAGTTCATAGTAAGTGTTCTTCTGACCAAAGTTTTTCTGAAGCCTCTTGGTGATAACAGCATTCTGCCGTTTATTCTGTAGCTGAAATATCAACGCATGCTGGAGAGGCTGGAGAAAGAGAACAAAGAGTTAAGGAAAGTAGTGCTTCAGAAGGACGACAAGGGAATTCACCAAAGAAAAGTCAAGGTAGGACTGTGGCTTTCAAAACACTTCTGTTTACTCTGCTTAAATAAATATCACTTACACAGAGTTTTTTTTTCTTTTTTTCTCTGTAGAAATACCTTATTGACTTGTATTCTGAAGTTCTGGACATCTTGTCTGACTATGATGCTAACTACAACACACAGGACCACCTGCCCAGGGTAAAGAACACTTTAATTCTGCTATAATTATTATTATTATTTATTCATTCAAAATGAATTACAAATGTAATAACATTTGATAAAAGTTTTTTTTCTTGCTTATTAATGTTCTTGTTGTTATTATCATAACCATTATTTTTATGATGTCTTTGTCTCAGGTGGTTGTGGTCGGGGATCAGAGCGCTGGGAAGACTAGTGTTCTTGAAATGATCGCTCAGGCTCGGATCTTTCCCCGCGGATCAGGAGAGATGATGACACGATCTCCCGTCAAGGTAAAATAAAAAGTCGCTTATGTATGAATGAAATAAAGTACTGTCCAATTATTTTAAAAGTAAATATGCTCAACAGATTTGTTCTTCAGAAATCCAAATCCAATTTTCTAAAACATGGAACTAAAACATCCTTCCCTGTAGGTGACGCTCAGCGAAGGACCCCACCATGTGGCCATGTTCAAGGACAGTGGCAGAGAGTTTGACCTCACCAAGGAAGATGACGTGAGGCCTTTCACTCCGTCCCGTTGTCATGTGACCAGAGCTCCGCCTTAGCTGTTCATATAATACTGTGGTGTCTTTTCTTCCAGCTGGCTGCTCTGAGGCGAGAGATTGAACTGAGGATGAGGAAGAGTGTGAAAGAGGGACAGACGGTCAGCTCTGAGGTGCAACGCGCAGTAGAATTCTCTGGTTACACATAATTCAGCAACTAAATGTCCGTGAAAATAAACGTGTTTGTATCTTTCCTTGGCAGACGATCTCTCTTAGTGTCAAAGGTCCTGGACTCCAGAGAATGGTGCTTGTTGACCTACCAGGTGTTATCAGTGTGAGTGTCACTATGTGTTTTTTTTATTTTCTTCATGAAATCAGTTTTGTTTTAGTCAAGTTAATAAAACATGGTATTTTCTTTATTGAATCTCTGACACAGACGGTGACAACAGGCATGGCTTCAGACACTAAGGAAACCATCTTCAGCATGAGCCGGGCCTACATGCAGAACCCCAATGCCATCATCCTCTGTATTCAGGGTGAGTCCAAGTCCAATGATTGCACTAACGTAATGCAACGAATATTTTCTGTCACAACCACGTTCTATTTTGACCTCTGCCCTTTCTTTAATAAGACGGCAGTGTTGATGCAGAGCGCAGCATTGTCACTGACCTGGTCAGTCAAATGGACCCCCAGCGAAAGAGGACCATCTTTGTCCTGACTAAGGTGGACTTGGCTGAGAAGAACCTGGCCAGCCCAAGCAGGGTGAGACTTTTTCACCGGTCACTGTCAAAGGCCTTGTATAACATTGGTTTTTGTCTTAATACATGAATAAAAGCATTTTTCAGAGTTTTTCTTGATCAGTTTCGACCCAACTGGTGAAAAAGCTGGGCTAAATAAATTGGTGTTATGCGCTTTTTCTCCACAAGATGGCGCTTAATCATCAGATTTTAACCGGCCTGTCACCGAACAGGCCAGTGTGTGTAGATGTGTCTTGGTGAATATTACTTTGATTTTAGTTTACAGGTGTAATTGTTTTGTTTTTTGTTTTTTTGACTTGTTTTTTCAGATCCAGCAGATCGTGGAGGGGAAGCTGTTTCCCATGAAGGCTCTGGGCTACTTTGCAGTAGTGACAGGCAGAGGTAACGTTTGTTGATTCACTGTCAATGGAAGTGAAATTTAAGTCATTATTTAACTTGGTTTTGTTGCTATTTGTGGTAATCTGGATTTTAGCTCAATATAATCGATTTTTTGTTGACTAGTTTTGACAATATAACCTAAGATCTGTTTCATTTTATGAATTAATATTTTTTCTGCTGTTTTCACATCAACAGGAAGCAGTGGTGAAAGTATAGACTCTATAAAAGACTATGAGGAGGACTTCTTCCAAAACTCCCGATTATTGAGGCAGGTCACACACACACATGATTGACCCCAGCTGAACATAAATGATACGTTGCTCAGTTTAGGTCTCATTCATCACTCGTTCTCTTAGGGATGGCATGTTAAAGGCCCATCAAGTCACGACGAAGAACCTCAGTCTGGCTGTTTCCGACTGCTTCTGGAAGATGGTGAGAGAATCTGTGGAACAGCAGGCCGACGTCTTCAAGGGTGAGTTTTACACACCTGTATATTTGAGGTCTTCATGACTTTATCTTGTTTTCAAAGTTAGTTTATCAAACACCTTTAGTAATCAACGTTTCAACCAACTACAGAAGTCAAAACACAGATTGTACTGTAAATAAAGCAGATGTTTAATTAGTTTTATTTTTGAATAATTGATTATGGATGTTTCCAATTGTTCAAAACACAATCATGATGCACTGGAAAAACTTTATTATTTTTT